AAAGGAACTGTCTCAACAGACCTCTAGTGGCCACATCCTGTTAAAGTAGGTATCCTAGGATACCTAAGTGGAGTGGTGCCCAAGGTGAACGGGGCTTAAACCAGCTCAAGAAAGGGCACGAAGCAACCACGCAAAGCCCTCATCATACAGGATTTTAGAAAAGAACGCAAAGAACTAGCATGCGAACTTACCACAATGTGGATTTTAGAAAGTGCACAAAGCCTTCACGTGCACACTTACCATAACATGGATTTTAGGATACCGTTCTAAGGGGGCTCTCGTGGCACTCTGAAAGAGCAGCTCATAGATGGAATGGTGCATACCAAACCCAATATGTTTGAGAGTCACCAACTCGATCTAAGATATAAAGCTGGAATGGCTAGCAGTAAATCTCTAGCTGAGGGGGCAAACACCCAGCTCTCACACGAGAGGGGAGCTCGACCTACCGCATGTTCCAATACTGGAACTGCCAGCAGTAAAGTTACCTAGCTGAGGGAACACAGACCCAGCTCTCAACGAGAGAGGGGGTTTGCCCAGCATGATCGTTAGAATCAGAGGTAAGTGTACTACAAGCTAGCCAAAAACTCTGATTTGGAAGGGCCTAGTTCACCTGATGCTACTGGTTCCAGGTGCTCTGGGAAAACAGAGAACTCAACTCTCACGTGAGAGGAGGCTCGATAGGAAGCAGCATGCTCATAGTAACCCTCAATGGTGAGGGGAGCGATACTTCCAAGTGTCTCAAAAATAGAGACACACTGGTTGAGTGGAGCCCAAGGTACCGGGGTCTTACCAACTCAGAGAAAGGGAACGAAGCTATAATGCGTAACCCTTACCTTACAGGATTTCAGAAAGTGTGCAAAGTCTAGCGTGCACACTTACCACTTATGTGGATTTTAGAAAGTGCGCAAAGTGCTCAGCGTGCACACTTACCACTACTGTGGATTTTAGAAAGTGCGCAAAGTGTTCAATGTGAGCACTTACCACTATGTGGGTTTCAGAAAGTGCACAGAGCTTAGCGTGTGCACTTACCATAGCATGGATTTAAATTTCCAGGCATCTGATCACAGATACCTGGAGGTACTGGGCCAAACGGGAGAGGCAAGCTCAAATACGACCCTCTAAGGCGAGGGGAGCAATGCCTGAGACAGCATTACACAAGAAGGTTCTTGCAAATGCCACCTATACTTCCCGCTCGATGCCTCAGCAAGAGGGAATATCCCGGAGCCCGGACATCCAGGAATTTTTTGCAGTGTCGTGCCGGGGGCCTGATGATCAAGAAGGCTCCCGCAGAAGCCTCTGACCTGGCCACATGGTCCAGGAAGCATGAAGCCGGAACCAGGGCTATCATACCGGCTGGGCACAATATCGACGAGTGAGGTAACACTGCCAGTCGAGCACCTGGTTTCTGAATCAAGCAAAGGGGTGCTCACTGAGGACCTACCTTAAAAAATGACAGAAACACACAGGTCCCAGAAAACGCTGCAAATAAATCTCACAGAAGATTATACACACATAACCACGAGCACATTAAAAACACATATATATATATACATATGTATATATATATATAGAATGGATCATACTCACCCACCATGGTTCCCGCGCCGGAGCCCCGTTCAAGAGGTGACTCAAAGAAGTCTCTAATCCAGACCATCAGCAAAGTGGTCACTATGAAGCCATAGAACCAACCAAACATATAGGTCCAGCATAGGAGACGGAGACCTTGGTCAGGTGGAGAGCTGGTGGTTACAGGGGAATTAGGAGCTAAGGGCAGATGTAAGCCCCCCGAAGGAAATGAGTAGATACTGAAGTATCACTCTGACCCGGACGAAAGCGCTGATGCCTTGTCTGGATCATATCCCTAGGTCTTGCCTACCTCCCTTTGACCCGAGTTTCCTTCTAACCCTATCCGCAGGCGGGGGAGGAGCATATCCCGAGGTCTTCCCTCCCTCCCTTTGACCCGAGTTTCCTTCTACCCCTATCCGCAGGCGGGGGAGGAGCGCGAGCCGCGACACTAGCCTTCTGTGGCCGTCTCTGATCCTCAGACCGAGATGGCCCAGGACCCCTATGCTGTTCGAGCTTAGACCTGGACCATCGTCAAATGAAGGACTGAAGGCCACTGAGCGCGCCTTTGCCTCCCTGAACTTCTCGACCACCGTCTCAACGGAGGTAACCAAGAATATTCGGAAGACGAAACCGGCGCATCGAGAAGAAAGCCCCTCTCTTCCATCCCGATATATGCCAGGTTCACCCACAGATGTCTCTCAATACCTACTATAGCTGCCATGCTTAGTAGCACAGAGAGTGAGATCTGTGATGAGGCGAAACTCAGCTACCTCATCAGGCCTTTATCCAGGTCTTCCAGCAGGTCAGCCTAATATGCCTGGAGCACCGCATTGTGCACAACGAAGCAACAGCCTGACCTGCTGCTGCGTATGCCCTGCCATCTAAGCGAGATGACAAGGAGGGAGTTTTAAGAGAGGACGTCTCACCCATAGAAAGATAACTAGCCAGTCGTCTTTTTTACAGGGGCATCCTCTCATAGTCGTTTCCGCGCATCGCCTCGATTTTGGCATAACTCGTATGCTAGAATCGATGAATGCGTAAAAAGATAACACTCAAAACTCACCATACGCAGAGCAGGAGGATTGGGAAGGCTCAGCCTCAGCTTCTTCGCCGTCCTCAGACATCTCTTGCTCTTACCGGGCCGAACCCAGCAGAGCACTGGCCCCCGGATCAAACGATGTTAAAGAAATAACATCATCCTCCAGCAGCTTACTCTCCTCCACAGCCGACGAGTGCGAGAGGGAAAACCCCTTTTTAAACTCATCAGCCTGATCCACCTGCGATCCCCACGAGCCCATCCTCCTCCGTGCCTCAGCAGCGGTGGGTCCTGAGCCGCGGGAAGCAGATGGCTGCCCCCCTTTCCTCGAAAAGAGAGACAAACGAGAGCGGAGCTTTTCATTAAAATACGCTCGCAATGAACGCTGATTGCCCCCTCAAGGACATCGCGTGCATGCTCTTTGCCCAAACAAACAACGCAGAGATCGTGTGCATCATCAGGTGTCAAATAACGACCA